TCCCACCTCCCTCTGCCTCTCCTTCTGCCTCTCTCCCTCTCCCTCTGTCCAAAGACGCACAATGGACAGGACACCTCACACAGTAAACGAATGGAAAGGGCCTTTGAAACCAGCCTGTCCTTTTCCCCATGGACGACACCAAGGGCTGCAGGAGTCCGGGGCACACACTAGCTGCACCCATCAGCAGCGTCTCTGTGACAAGAAGCCAGAGCACCGGCCTTCTATCCAGTAACATTTCCTTGACCTTAAACATAATGGGAAGGAAGTTTTGTTACTCATATCTCAAATACTTTTTAAGTTAAATTTATTTATTTTAAAAGATTAATTTTAAGACAAACACCTCAAGAAACGTAGAACTAGAGACCCTTCTCTGCCATGCTCTGCCCTCCCCTCACCCCTTTTTTCTCTTGCTGTGTTTCTCCCACTTTCTTCCTCCCTTCTTTCCTTCATAGATCTACGCACCAGGAGGCAGGTGAAGCAACAAACACAGCAGACATTAAGTCAGGAACACACGATGTACACTTGCCTATGATACCTCAAAACCTAGGCTGAGACCCTGAAACACAAGGTTACCAACGCAAATCCTGAATCCAGAAAAAGAGGAGTTTTTCTTTCCAAAGACTCTGATATCATTTATATAAAATTAAAATTTTATTATTCCCCAGTGTCCTACTATCACCCCCCACCCCTCCGACTATTCATCTACAGGTTCAAAAAAATCCCAGGCCCTTGTGACCAAACGATCTCACAATGGGTGTGTGAGCTCATTTGGGTCTCAGGGGACCAAGGAAAGTGATAATGTGTTTATCTCACAATCATCCACATCATCCGTTATGAACAGCCTTGTTTAATTTGAATTGAATTTGCAAAATTGGAATATCTCTATTCTTTCCCCTCCCTCACATATAGTTCCAATTGGTTCATTTTAGTCTTGACTCCAATCCTAAGAATTATAGACTTTTTTCCCCAGGCATACAAAAGACAGGAAAAAAAAAAACAAAAAACAAAAAAAAAACAGTGGACCAATGTAACAAATTTCCCCAGTGAGTGCCCAATCAAGAATAGACAAAATGTCAAATGACAATAGTGCAAAGACATTTACTGAAATTTTTCAAAACTGTTGCAGAAGGAAGCAAACACTGTGGAACTGATGACAGGTGAAACATTAGGCACAAGCAGCATGGTAAGGCTGGACGGGTTCCGAGAGGAGAAAGAAATACCTAGGAGCATTTACTGTAGTCAAAGCACTGCAGACGTATTATCCTTATTATATTATCTTCTATGCATGTTATCTCATTGGGTTCCATTCAGCAAAAATTCGCCCAGGCTTGGAGAGAGAGATAGAAAACCACCAGTCTCTCTTGAGAAATGTAATTCTGTTTGACCAATAATTCAATAAGAATCAGATTAAGGAACCCATAAAGTTAGAAGTTGATTTGTAGAAAACTAATAAGGTATGATAATTTACTTTTGTTTTCTGATAGAGAAATTTTCTTCCAAGGTTATAGTTTTATTTCCCTGTAGGACAATATTCAGGCTTAAACCTTCCTGAGCGATCTCATTTCATCAAAGTCTTCCCCACTGAGTACTGAGATTCCAGCTATTCATATTGTCTGCAAATCGCTGTTATTCTGATGATGAGTTCATGAAGCTTGATTCATATGTTCATGTGAGAATGAAGTTTTCAGTGATTCGAGAATCCATGCTTTGACGTCATCAGCCATATGAGGTAGGTAGTAGGTTCTCATTTCACAGACGAGGAAACTGAGTCTTGGAGAAGGCACATTACCTACCCAGCTTGCAGAGGTGAGAAGCAACAGAGCTGGGAGTGGAACACAAATTTTCCTAAAGTCCTTTCCAGGAACCACATTAGTGACTCACAAGTAGACTAAAAATTTGGGCTGGAACATTGCCAGAACATCAACCTCATGTACATAGGTTTATATGTTTGAATTATAAACATGACAGTTGTTATGAATGTGCTACACCTGAGTATTTAAATAGTAATTGAAGAGACTATTTATTGACTTGTTTCCATTTCAAGTTTTAAAAACTGGAAAGGTTGGGAGCATTTGCCCAGCGAGTATATGGAATACGCTCATTGAAGTGTGAAATCATAGAGAATATGGAATGCGCTCATTGAAGGCCGGGGATATAGCTCAGTGGCGCAAGCGCTTGCCTGGCAAGCGTGAGGTCATGAGTTCGATTCCTGGTACCAAAAAACAAACAAAAAGAAAGTATGAAATCACAATGCTTTGCTGACTCCATCCATGCTCTGGATGATGGTTAGCAAATTATTACTGAGTTTGATATAGAAGTCACTGAAACATATTTAGAATACTTACTCCAGAGCACTCTTTGATATTTTGTGGGCATGGCCATCCAGAACACAGTCTGAGAACTTTTGAATAAATCTGATCAAGTGACCCATTTACCCTGCTGTAAACATGTTTAGTCTACCTTACCCTTAGGTAGAAAAAAAGAATACAAGCAAGTCTATCTCCTTTTCAGCCTTGCAAGGGATTTGTGTCCCTGGTGGAACAGAAAGGTAGAAGTGAAGACTAGGGACGGATATGCGATGCTTTGTCTAAACACACCTTGGCATACACAGAACTTTGTCTTGGAAGCTGCTCTGGGAAAGAATGTCTGCTCTTCATGTAAACGGTTTATCTGTCAACAAGTGTGGCCCTCAGCTGGGATATACACCTTTGGAATGCACCCATTTATCCACCTGGGGATCCGTTCAGTATCCACACAGATGTACAAGGCTCTCTGCATAGAAAAGATCCCACATCGAGGTTGAGAAAAATCCGTACTTGAACTGCAAGGTTTTGGTCCATCAAACGGCAGACTGGACAGTGACCATCTGGCCCGGTTTCCTGCACAGCATGCCCTGACTTGACAGGCATTAGCAGCTCTGTGCCACAGAGTGAGGCTGAGTGAGCCCATCCGCCCCGCTCCTCAGCCCCGAGCAGCTGAAATCCAGCTCCAGCTGAAGTGAAAGATAAGTGTGGTTCAAATTCATCCTGACTCACAGTTTCACTGTTTTCTCCTGACTAAAGCTGCTCAATGTGTCTGTGGTTTTCTTACATAAATTTTCAAGCCAGCTAGTGCTATTATAAAGTGGCTTTTCCAACCCTGATGTTGGGGGTGGAGTTTTAGCTCGCATATTTTTTCCAGATGTGATAAGCTCTCCGTAGCCTTCTTGATGAGCGAAAGCGTAGCCAGATCTTCTTGAGCTTGACCTACGGGTCTGAGGCCTTTGCCTCCTTACAGGCTTTGCCTTTTTCTGAGCCTTCTGCCTCTGACGGATCTAGGGAGGAACAGAGCCAGAGTGAGATGATGCGTATCAAGAAACTATCGTGTGAACAAGAAACATTCAGGTAAATGTCATTATTGTCTCCACCCTGAATGTCTTCATTGCACAGAAGAATATGTGCAGGGGACAGAAGCCAGAGCCTCGTACATGCTCAGTACAGCACATGCTCATATAGAGAAAGATTTATAGCAATGCACCCCCCCAGACGTGATCAGTGTAATATTTTATAGTCCCATTCCCCTAAGATGGTGTATCTCGGTCTTGTAGAGATTCTCTGGGTCCACGGTTATCAGTACATGAAAGTGTAGGAAGTGAATGCCGGAAACTTTCAACGCTTGTGGTAGTGTATCATGAAACTTTCAGGGGTTTGATTTATTGGGGGATGTTTGTGGCCGTTTGAAGGGCCCCATTATCTGAGTGGGTTTCCAGCATTTCTTCCATTTCCCTGCAAAAGAGGAAAAGATCAGAGGCTCGGTGTGAACGACCTTGTTTTCTGATTTGGCAGATGGATTGGATTCTGGCTTTTGTGTCAGAAGAAAGTTGTTAAGCAGAGAATCATCATCAGACTGAACATAGGAGCAGTGAGCACTATCTTCCTTTCAGCCTGTCCATCATTTCCTGGCTTTGTAGCACCTCAGACGCAAAAAGAAAGAAGACAGACAGGGACTCTGAATCTCCAGAAAGGATATTTTTGTACGTCAGCTGCAGAACGTGAGGGATCCGGATGCTAGTAAAGTTCTCGACATCACTGGCCCGATCCCAAACCCCCACCGGTGTTTCCCCTGCCTGTGCCAGGCACGGCTCCACATGTGCGTCCCCTCTTTCCTCCTTTCTCTTCGTACCTGTCTTGACCTAACACCGTCCAGATTACTGTCCTCTTCCCATGAAATCCCAAAATCTCATCTCATTCCCAGCTGAGATACTTCCATAATCTGTTCTTCTATTTTCCTTCTACCTTGTATTTCCTGATCTATCCATCATGATGACATTCCCTTTTTCTCTGCTCAGAAGGTAACCTCTCCCCCATGTGTCTCAATCTGCTCTTGTATTTCTACAAACATTTACGCCTCTGCCTCACTCCTTTCTTCTCTCCCTCCTCCTGCACTTTTACTCATCCTCAAGTCAGTAGCTTTCCCTGCGGTGTGTCTTTCTCTTAGAGCAATTGTCCAAGCTAATTCCAGTGTGCTTCTTTTATAAAATGGCTTTTAGAAACACCCAACTAATACGTAATTTTTGACTCTGCACCCACCCTTGTTCCAGAAGCTTCTCTTAGTTGGCACACGGGACCTGTACCCGGAAGGTGTGGGAGGTTCCATCTGCTCTGATGTGATGCCATGCACCTATGGGTGCCGGCCTTCGGGAATCCCACTAGCCCATCCCTGGGCTTCCAGTCAGACAGAGGAGGAGGCTGATCCGAGAGCCAAGAACCAGCCTCTGAGCACTCCGTGTGCAGCACATACCTGGTCAGTCAAAGTTGGGTATAAATCCACCTTCAGAAACCTGAACGCCACCACTGGCATAACCGAGGCGACAGTTGTTAAGAGAATAACAAGCCAGACGCACTTCTGGGTCAAGGAATGCCATACATTTCCTATGATTAAAGAGAAATATACCCTGTGGTTATAAACAGGACGGATTTCTCAGGAGGCTCTGGGCTGGTAAGGTCTCATGAAATGACGATGTTTGGACTCCCTGGGAGAATAGGGGAGTCTTCCCCGGGTACTGCGTGGTGATGAGGAGAAGGCACACAGCAAGCTCGCCCTGGGGAAGGTTGAGGGCTGAACCGGCCTGAGCCGAGCAGGCTGGGCTCTAGATTCAGCCCAGCACCCCTCAGGAAGCACAACTCCCTCTTCCCACCTCAAGATCGCCGGGCTACAGCGTAGCCCTCGCAGCCAAACCTCGGTAAGCAGGGCTGCAGAACTCATCGAACCTGGTACCATCATATTCTGACAATGAACAATGTTCTGGCGCCGGGCACTCACCTCAGTAGCTCACCAACAGGCAGAACCTCAGACTCCTCCTTGCTGTCTGTGCTGTTGTCCTTTTAAGCACTCATGAGTTGCAAAAAAGGCTGAGTGGTACCACTAAGCCTAAAAGGCTACTATTAGCCCAGTAAAATGGGAGCCTTCTGGGAAGTAATTACTTCTAATTACATTATTTCCTATGGCAAAAATTCAGTCATTACTCACAGGTTTCATCAAGAGTTCTGGAATGAATTAAAGGAGGCCTGAGGTGCGACTGCATCTCTGAAAGGCACTATTTACCTCTGTGGATTCTTAAAATCATACTCTTACAACTCGCAATAAATGCGCTGAACGCAGGCATAATTTCAAATAATGGCCTGGTCAGCTGGCTGAAATAAAAAGGGAGCCTAATCTACTGCAGCGCCAACCTTTTAAATTCCAGGCAATGGCCCCAGAAAACCTGCCTTGAAGGTTATGAGCTACTTCAAGTTTCAAGGCAAGCGGGAGGGAGGGGGCTGGGTTTGTGTAAAGAGCACCCCCAACTGCAGGCCACCGATGGAGCCATGCAACACACAGGGCAACCAGGCAGCAAGACGCAAGTCCGAGACTTTCAACTTCCACCTCACACCCTTGGACATTTGTCTAAATAAGGCAGCAAGGGTCAGTGAGGGAGACAGACAGATCCCACGGGAAGACACCAACCCTACTTCTACCACCAAAATAAACTTTTGTTCTTGTCCATTTTCTAGGGATTTCTCATGATACCTCCAGCACCCTCGTTCCCTTTCCAAGTCTGCACACCACTGAAGTGGGCTTTGGCAGGAGGGCTTGGCTACTGGTTGGTATGTCTGCTTTTTCCAGCTTTGCTGAACAGACCCCACCTACCAAAGAGCAGCTGACTCCAGTTGCCTTCAGCTATGAGCAGAAATAAACTTGACTTAATAAATTAAAGGTCTTTTTGGGCTCCTTGAAGCTCAGAACCCCAGGCAAGAATGAGAAAAACAAGCTTCACTGTAAAACCACACTCCTGCATGCTGCTGGTTACTAAAGGAAAAATCTTTTTTTTTTTTCCTTAAACCCCATTGTTGATCTAACTTTTGTAAAGTCTCATTGGAGCTGTGTAATTAATTCCTGGAATGGCTTGCGCTTAGTGCTTAGCAGAGGAGGAGAGGTTCACACACAGACTACTTTCTCCAGCACAGGCATCCCAGGCCTGTTACACATGTTATGATGCTCTCTCAGAACTGCAGGTTTTCTAGTCAATGCAATGAGCTTTCCAATATATAAATATATATGTGTGTATATATGTGTGTGTGTGTATATATATATATATGTATGCTTAAAAATAGTTTGTCTTTCTTCCCTAACCAACTTATTCTGATTCATAACCAACATGTCTCTCCATGGTTGGAATCTTTGGTAAACAAAGTATTGACATTACATATTAAGTAAGAGTGGTCCCGTTTAAGGATTTCCAGATACACGCAGGGAAAGGCAAAAGTTGAAGAAAAATGTTCTTAAATTGTATGTGTGCATTTAAATAGAATTAGAATTTCAGGTACTTTGGCATAAATGGAAACATTCAAACTGATAGTTGGTTTGTCTGGCTGCTTTCTGCATGAATCCGTCTTCTAAGAATTGTTTTCTTTTTTTAAAGAATTGTTTTCTGAACTGAGTTACCCAAACAGAGGATGCAAATCCCAGTCTGCATGATTGAGGTCAAAAAGAATGTCAAGGTGTATGGCTCTTCTCTGGCTTTTTTGAGATAAACTGAAAAAATCACTGTCCCTATTTAACCTGAACACACAAAAGCACTCAAAGCTTCTGAAAAGCTGTATCAGTAACCTTCTTGTATAAATTGCAGTGGCCTCCCCGGGATCACTTCAAAACGTGGACTGCGATGCTAGTATGCTCTGTGCCTCTTCCAGGTGTGTGTACTCTTGGAATAATAACAGAATCTTGGAGTTTAAGGGCTTCTAAGGGGATCTTTGCTACCCTGCTGATGTTCACTCCTTCTGCAATGTCCCAACCGGTAATCAGGACACATTTGTTTGAATAACATTAACCACCATCATCACAGTCAACATTTATGGAAAATGTAGCCCGGACCTTGATACACGCTAAGTATTTCATATATGTTGTATATATAATCCCCATAACTTTGCTATGACAATAAGAACTATTCATAGCTCCAGTCTACACATGAAGACATGAATGGTGAGAAGACGTTTGCCCAAGGTCACACTGCTTGCTGAGTGGTGGGGCCAGCTTTAAAAACTTGGCAAACTACAGAGCCTAATCTCCAGGCCATTGATAGACCAATGTCCAGCAGTTTGTTCAGGCTACTGAGACTCTATCACAATGAGTCTTGTACATCTGGCAGGGACAGCAGACACTGATCTTTCAGAACTCCTGTAAGTCTGGAAGTGTTCAGAGGCCTGGTTCAATCAGTTCCTGGAGAAAGGATCATTGGTCATTTCCAGCCCCACCCAAACCCCAAAAATATGTTAAAAAGACAAATGAACGACAGCATAAAACACAAGACAGCAGAACTCACCAACAAATGGGAACTGGTTTGGGAACATTCCAAAAATGTCACTACTGTGCGTTGTAAATAAAATGCAGAAGTAAGTAGCAATGCTGCCCCAGATGAAGACATGGTTAATGACAGTCCAGTAACTGGTGTCCAAGGCTATCTGTCAATAAAATCAAATGCAAAGAGAGATCTTTGAGGTTTAAAAGAGCATCATCTTATTGCGTGATCTCTCCCCAGTACTGGTCTACTACAAGAAGACTACAACTGTTCGGCAGCCAGGCCAACCACAGGCACCTCTGTTCTCTACACATACACAGAAGACTGACTGCTAATTTGACATTTCTGTTAGAAAACTGACTTTAGAATTTATGTGCATAGGCACCATCTATGCCAAGTGTGGAAATCAGTATCCAGAGATAAAATATTGAGATTTTCTTACATGAGAAGTAAGAAAACAAGAGAGTTTTATAATTTTAAAGTCACTTTCTGAGTTGTTCTCAAACTTGTCTATTGGGAAAAAATTTCTTTCTGTACTGAGCAAGTGTGACATTTTATAATCTGTACATAAATTTTCACATGACCATTTTAACACATGCATAATCTTTTTACATAAACATTCCAATTCATTTTGATGATCCTTCCCTTGAATTGGACTCAAATCATAACAAAGGAAAATCCTTAATCCTCTTTTGGCATAAAATTCAGAAATTGAAACTCCAGGTGACCTGGGAGTGTGTGCAAGCCACATCTCCCTTCCAGTAATGTGTTATGGCAGCTGAACGGAAAGAAGAGTGGGGTGCCACTGCAGAATCAAGGAAACTACTGGCAAACATAAATCCTTGGATTCTCCAGAGGAGAAAAGGTACATGCTGGTGCCATTGTTTGCATCTCAGAGGTCACAAGTGGTTCAAGTCCAAGCGAAGGTTTGCATTTCTAGTAGAGTCCAGAGTAGGACCAGAGATTTCTTGTTTGCCTGATGGGACCCTACCTGCAGAGTGAATACAAGCCTCACAACATGTGGAGGCATGCATCCCCTTCCCACTTGCAGCTGACTGCCTTTTAAAATGTTACCCTGTGAGAAGGATGCTGGCAGCCTTCAGGGTGAACTGCACTGGTCATAAAAGGATGGCTTTTTCTCTCCTCAGGAGCCTTGAAGCCAGAGCCCTTCTATCTGTGCCTTGGTGAAGAAATACTCGCTTTCCATTTAGTTCACTTGGCTACCAAATCTTAGACCAACATCTCCAACTCTGTCTCCTACAACCTGTCAGTTCGTCATCTTCAAGAGATAGCAATACCCTGGTCTGATTGGGTAAGAGAAGGCAAAGTAAAACCATAACCCATGTAAAAGGACTCGGGTATAAAAACCAGAACAGGTGGTTCCTATGAAATAAAACAAAGAGAAGAGGCAGACAAGCAATAAAATAACAACAAAGTGTAATAAGACCCCCTAAGGAGATGCAAGAATAAACAATTTGGAAGGAAAAAAACACTGAATTTAAAAATTTAATGAGAAATCAAGTAGAATAGTCACTGACAAGAACTGAATTAATATTTGGAACAAATTAATGGAAATAGTATCTCATACTGAGGAATAAAGACCTGAGAAATGAAAACCATTTTCAAATCCATAGATGTCAAAGCTATGGTCCTAATATGCAATTAATACCAGAGAGAGAAAAGGGAATAACTAGAAAACCGAATCAAAGAAATGACAGAAGAAAACTGTGATAACAAATAGCGTAGATTTTCAGATTGAGAGGGCCTTCTAAATTCTAGGCAAATTAATGAAAAAAAAAGGATACATTTTATTGACCCTTGTGAAGTCTGAGGAAAAGAAGCCTCTAGACGGAAAGGGTATTACTTATAAAGGAAAGAAAATAACATCAGTCTGCTATAGTGAAATTGATATATAATGAAACAAGAAAGTTCCTTAACAAAAAGGCTCATATTAAAGATCTTATGCCCATCCAATATATTGTGTAAATGCCAAGACAAAGAAAGAAAGATTTGAGCTCAAAAATCATAGCATCTAAATACCCTTTCTAAGCAAATTACTCAAGGATGTTACTGCAAACCAAAATAAAAACTAAATTACAATAATGACTTCAAAATACTGTAGTGTAAAACCACAGAAAAATAGTGGTGAGCAAAGATTCTTGTAAGTTTATAGTAAGCATGGAGTGAGTAATATTGTGAGTATGAGCAGCAGTATTAACATGGGAGGAATTTTAGAACAGTCAGAACATGTTAACAAAGCATTTAATAACAGCCTGGAACGAAAAATTCAAAATTATTAACATGCAAGAGTTGAGGGTAAGAGTAAGGACAAGGAGAAAGAAGTAAAATTAAAACATTTATAAAATGTTTAATTGAATGTGGATGAGGAAATGTTTTGGTCTTTTTTTTTTGAGGAAATGTTTAGAACAGGATACTGAAACATTTGATAAAAGATATACTATATAATTTTAGTATATCAATATAGATAATAGCTTTAATTGACTATGAAAATAGGTAAAAAAAATCCCTAGTAAAATAGGAATATAATAGTAAAACTTGTAAATTATTCATAGGGAATAAGACACTTTAAAACCTCAATTAATGCATCCAAACATAAAAAAGGGAGATTAAAAATAATTAAAGGCAATCATAAAATAATATTTAAAATGCAAAATAAAATGCAAGTAATTATAATAAAAATGAGAAGCTTAAATTCCTCTATCAAAAAAGAAAAACTATAGAATGAGACAAAAAAGAGAACTGAAGTGATTGCCTCAGATATTTTATCAGACAAATGGAAACTAAATGAAGCAACACTAATATTTAAAAAGAAATTTAAATAAAAATGTATTTTATTCAAAAAAGATAAACTTTTAAAAAATAACAATCCAGAGCTATTATGTGACAAGTAATACAGGCTTGCATTACATGAGGTAAAATCTCCTTGAAATATAAAAACCTAATAAAAATTATAACTACAGTAGCACACATTAATTCACTTTTCTCAGTTTTTGGACAAGCGTAAGATGAAGGTGATGGTTCTTTTGGAGGACTGGGGCTCACCCAAGCCCCTATATGATCACAGCCAATTATGGGAAGTGGTAAGTGTCTCACTATGACAGTGCAGCCACTGAGTTGGGTGTGGTTGTTAAGTTTAACTATATCAACTTGATTAGCTTAAGAGCCACTCAGAGGATGAGTAAAGCACACTTCTGGGTGTGGGTGGGTAGGTCATGAAGACCTGACCTTGGGTCCCATATCTGGTTCCTCTCCCTTTCCTCTCCAGTGCAGATCCTCTGCTCTGCTTCCCAGCTGCCATGAATTTAGCATCTTTGTTCCAACATGTCCTTCCACTACGTTTCTGCCTTCAAGCCACCTGACAATGGACTGAGTCACCTTAAAGTGCGAGCCAAATTAAACTCCTCTCCTTTAAATTATGGATGTTGGGCATTGTGTCCCAGTAACAGGAAAGCTAACACAGAAAACTGGTACCAGAGGAGTGGGGTCACTAGTGCGAATGTACCCAATCATGTGGTTTAGAAGCCTTTGGAAATAGTTTGCAGGAGGATCTTGGAAATGTTTGGAGACATGAGGTAGAGAAGTTTAAAATGGTGTGGGCTGAGTTTGATAGGTGGTTCTGGTCAGAGCTCAGAAGACCAGAATGTTTACAGAAATGTGAATAGTAAAGGCCAGTCCCACTCGGGAGCAGGGGCTCCACTGGCAATTTGGTTAGAGATCATGTGTGTTACCCTCCAACAACAACAAAAAAATTGTCTACATTGACTCATGTCCAGAGACTGAGATTAAGGGAGGTGGGTTGATTGATTTGGTAGAACAAATCTCAAGACAGCCCAACATTTGGGCTACTGCTGGCTTCTTTTAGCCAGATTTATAGAGAGAATTGGGAGCAAAAACCAGAGCAGAAATTTTTATTTTTTTATTTTATTGTTATTTTTTTGTCTTTTTGAGACAGGGTCTCACTACGCAGTTCAAGCTGGCCTTGAGCTCACTTTGTAGCCCAGGCTGGTCTTGCACTCGCAACGATCCTCCTGCCTCAGCCTCCCAAGTGCTGGGATTACAGGCATGCACCACCATGCCTGGCCTCAGAGAGGAAATTTTTGAAAAAATTAAATTTTGGTACAAAAGGAGCCACATATAAAGTTGGAGCTAAAGGATGTATGACTGCAGAAAAGATTAACACCATAAAAAAAAGAAATTTGTACATAGATAAGAAGAAATGTTTTAAAGGCATCTCAGAATCATAGCCTCAACAGTGCAAAAGTGTAAACCCTTCATTTGAGATAAGACCCTGGCCCCCTTGGTGGAGAAAGGTGAGCTAGAGAATTGGTTGCCCAGGATTCATTTCACTATGCTCAACCATCCAGGCACTTAGGGGCTGCTGAAGCCATGGTCCAAGGGGGCCTAGCTATTGCATGTGTTCTCAGCGATACCATCTTCTACATGATGGTGATGTTCAGGCATGCAGAATGAAAACGTTGTGGGGTTCAGAGGCTGCCTCTCAGATTTTAAAGGAAGGCGTAGGAGGCCAGGCAATGTACTACTGAGAGACAGGTGCATGAAGCTGTAGGAATTAAACAAAAGGTGGATGAAGATCTAAGGAAGATGGAGATGCCAGGAATGTGATGCCTCTGCAGAGGCAAGCTGCAAGCAGTAAGTAGAGCCAGTGCAAGAGAGAGGGTATGTGGGCTGCCACCAGCAAAGCTATAGGTGTGGGGCTACCCCTGCTCTCTTATCTCACATCTTACCACTATGTGTCCCGGATGCCAGATATGAAGGTATAGGACTTGCTCTGCTGTGTTTCAGTCTAGGCTTGGTCCTAATATTTTCTTTCCTCCATTTGGAATGGGAATATTTACCATGTGCCATTACATCTTAGGGTTATGTAATTTCTAATTTATTTTTACAGAGGTTCACAGCTAAGAGTTTGCCTTCAGTCTCAGAAGAGGCTTTGACTTGGTTTTTGAAAAATACTGGAACTGTTGAGGCTTTGGGGAAGGGGTTATCTTGTCCTTGGTTGTACACAGGATAGTTGCAACAGGTTTTGTGAAACTGTTCATTTGTTATTGTGTTTATTTGAAGACTAAGTGTTGTTTAAGGAGATATGTTTGGCTGTCAAGCCAAACAAAGGGTGGTGTGTGGTAG